CAGTCTGTTCCAAGTAATTTTAACTCACACCTCAATGAAGTATGGGTGAAACTGAGTGCACACACAGGCCCAAGGTTTAAAGACCCTGGCAGTGAGGTGGCTTTGCTTGCTTGCAGATATCTATGTCTGCATGATCTCCTCCGCACACAACGTGGCCGCACAGGGCAAGTACATTGCCATCGCCAGCACAACCGTGGAGACCAAGGAGCCCGAGAAAGAAATCAGACCAGCTCTGGAACTCTTGGAACCAATTGAGCAGAAGTAAGTGATGCGTTCATTTTTAGCAGCTCAAACCCAGGATTGCCTTTGGCTCCATGGTGAACAGAACCCCATGAGAACAATGAGAGCAGCCATCATCTCTTACCAGCCTGGGTTTTGAATTTCAGGCAAAGCGGTGAGTGGGCGTGTCAACTTCCCTGCTTACTTAATTCTTTTTCCCCTCCAGATTCGTAAGCATCAGTGACCTCCTTGTACCAAAAGATTTGGGAACAGAAAGCCAGGTGAGTGGCAATCTGAAAAGGGTAATTACCAGGCTTTATTGGGAGACATCACTAAATAGTCTTAGGTCTTTGTGACTTTCATTTCCAGATCTTTATATCCCGTACATATGATGCGACAACTCACTTTGAGACAACCTGTGATGACATTAAGGACATCTATAAGAGGATGATGGGATCCGAGTTTGACTTTGAGGAAATGAAGCGCAAGAAAAATGACATCTATGGGGAAGACTAACAGCAGTACATGTTATCATCTAATTAGGACAAACTTAAAATTTGGCAAATGATGCATATTGTATGAAATCAATATTGTAAGGCCTGCTTTTGTAATCAAAGCTGAGAGATTGCAGAGCACTGTACCAGTAAATATTCTTCCCCTTTCTAATATCATGTATTAACTTGTTTTCATGGAGTGGCTCTTCAGAATTGGCAGGTTCCCACATTCTGTTCAATTTAACCAATACTGGCTTGTTTTTTCTAGTGAAGGATCAGTTTTAAAACATTGTGATACTGATACAGAGAACTTGATACAGTATTTGTATCTTTTAATCAGTGTAGCCTTTGCAGTTATGAGCTTCTGCTGCTCAAGAGCTGTGTCAGTACAGTTTGCGTGCCATCTGTCCTCTTGACATTAAGGAGATACGGAATCGAATGTTCCATCGTTGGGGACAGTATCCCTCACTCCTCCCCACCCCTTTACATTTACATCAAGTGTTAGAACAGTGCCCAGGCAGCATAGCCACAAGCTGGGTTTATGTGGGCCTCCAATTCTAACCAAACTCCAGACTTTGAGAGTCATTTTGGAGGAAGCCTGTGTGCGGTGTTTTAATCTAATAAATTTGATGAGAGCAGAGGGGAAAGAAACTATCATAAAGCAGGTAAACGTAGAAGCTTCTTTTGTATCCCAGGTGTGGCTTCTTCAATGGACCAAGCTGCTGCAATGCAGTATTGATTTGACAGAGCCTCTGCTTCAATGATGTCTGTCTCACAATGGCTCCAAATGATTTCTGTACTGCAAAATAAAGCCAAACTCTGGAAACCAGCTCCCTCTTGTTGGTCTTTTGTGTCCTGACAATTCAGAGCTAGTAAGTATTGTACTGGCCTTGACACAGCTGCTCATTTCCTTCACTAGAGCTGAAAATGGATGCTGGGGAAGAGTGCTGAAGACCCTAGTGGTTGGTGGAGTGCTGCCATCTGGCTTCACTGTGAGTAGACCCCGAATTACTTCTTGGTACAATATAATTATTAGACCTTCTTAGATATCCTTAGTAGTGGTGTAGAACAAGGATTCGTTCCCATCAGAGAGTAAGTGACATCCGGTGGAATGGGTGCGTTAATGTATTTATTTAATAAGTTAATTAATTTTATTTTTGGCTGTGTTGGGTCTTCCTTGCTGTTCACGGGCTTTCTCTAGTTGTGGTGAGTGGGGGCTACTCTTCGTTGTGGTGTCTGGGCTTCTTGTTGCGGAGCATGGACTCTAGACACGTGGTCTTCAGTAGTTGTGGCACATGGGCTCAGTAATTGTGGCACACGGGCTTAGTTGCTCTGTGGCATGTGGGATCTTCCCGGACCAGGGATCGAACCTGTGTCCCCTGCATTGGCAGGTGGATTCTTAACCACTGTGCCACGAGGGAAGTCCCAGTATTTTCATTTAATTCAGATTGTAGACAGTTTTTAGTGGTACCTCCTTTCCCCTTGATTGTTACAAGCCTCACTGTATGTGCTGTCATTTATATCGAGGACATTGTATTCTCTTTTATAGTTGAGTTGGTCATCTATGTCGGAGGAATGAGGACATTGTAACTGTATTCTCTTTTAAAGTTGAGTCTGAAGGACATAGACTAAGGTAGGCGATCTGTTAAAGGATTTAGGGTAATAATAACTTCGATTATCCAAGTGATTACTTTAGCTTTCTCAATCTCATACTATCCATTTTTGGCTGAAGAATTTTTTGTTGTAGGTGGGCTGTCCTGCACATTGTATGCACCTCCCTGGCGTGACAACCCCAGATAACCCCGGTTGAAAACAACTGCTTCCTTTTCATAAGATTATCTAAAATTCCAGCAGGCCTTTCCCCTCTTTTCCTGCAATATTTCACATTGTGAACCATTAACGCAGGTGGAGGCACAAGCTGGGTTAGTAGTATGAAGGAAGCATCAGGATGTCTTCGTATTCTGCACTCGGCATATTTATTGGAACAACTAACATTTCTGTGCCAGGCCAACGGGGCACAAAGGTGATGAGGGCAGAGTCTCTGCAGAAGCTCAGTCTGGAGGCGCCTGCTCCTCTGTGGCCTGGCTAAGCCTTCAGTTACAGAACGGGCGGCCTCGTGGGTGCTGGAAGGTTCTTCAGGGGAGGAGCACGGCTGGCAGGTGCGCTGTAAATGTTACTTTCCTTTTCCGTAGTAATTTCAGATTAATTCAGTGTACCAAATACAGTTATGGTCCTATTAGATTCTTATCCCTGGGGTAAAAATCAGCTGAGTGGGTCTCTAAGCAAGAGCTAGGGTAAGAATTAAAACTCAGTCATTCTTCCTCCTCCTAAGAACATACCGAGGGGAAAGGAACACTTTGGGTTCTGTAGGGGGAGTATAAAAGCAGATAAATGGCTTTTGAGGGAAGTTCCTGTGCAGGCTGACATGACCCCCTGGAAGGGCCAGTTGGAGCGTGTGAAGTGTCCTCTTGCTGGAGCCTGCTGCTCGGCACCGCACGAGGGAGGGGAAAGCACCGGGCAGGCCTGCGGGGATGAGGCTTGACAGATGGCGGCCAAAGTGAGGTAAGTGGTAGGATTCTTTTGGAAGCTACTTATTCTGCTAAATGGCCTAAAAAATTTAAAGTGCTGTAAAACATTCTCTTACAAATTTAATATTTGCTATAAAATCATTGCAGAAGCAGTTGAATGATTTTTAGTTGTCTTTATTAAAATGAAACAAATTAGGTACAAAAACCTTTGTTCCAAATAGATACTATGTATCTTACCAATGTTTTTGCTTGGTTTTGAGTTTTAAAGATTGTTGTAGAAATTATTTCTAATATAAATAAATGATTATTTCTTCCTCAGAGGATTGATTTTTATAGTATGCTGTTTACAAAAACTGAGTAAGTGAAAATGACAGTTTATAAATTTGTACCATTTAGGAAAAAAATGTTTATGTAGTGTAGCATGAATAACAGCAGATAGAGCCATTGAAGATGTTAGTTTTTACACAGGTGGTAAAACCTTTAAAACAGACTACAACATGCATTACATGTGCATTTCTGACCTTAACGTGCAAAAACAAAGCTACTGGTTAAAATAGACTTATTTTTGCTACAATTGAGTACACTTGTGAAATTCTTATTTTTATCATTAATTTCAATGAATAGCTTTGAAGCTATTCTGCTTAAAATGAGAATAATTTAAAACAATAATATTGAACACTGTAACCCAAAACTAATGGAAAACTACAGTGCTGCTGTGAACAAAGCCAGACAACAAAGTCAGACATTCTGGCAATGTGTAAAACATGAAGAAAAATGTTCCCCCAAGTTGTAGAACACTGAGATACACAGAACAGTCTTCTCATATAAATCAAAGGTTTTCAAAGAAAAGGGAAAATACTCATTTGTTGTTGGCATCACCGATGTCTAGGTAAGGTGCAGTTAAATCACCTGAATACAAAATTGATAATTCCGTCTTTAAAATAACCAAGAACTATTCCATAAATAGGATGCTACCTACTGGGGAAAATGTCTATGCATGTAGGCTACATTGTCTTCCGTCCTGGCAGCAGATGGACTGCAGGTGAAAACACTCATAGAATGGAGGTTAGTTATTTCATTAGTGATACTTGAGAAAGTCCCATTTATGCCAAACTAGCAGCACCCCTAAATAAACAAAACTTTAAATTTACAGCATGACGTATAACGTACAAATGTTTTTGAGCAACTGGTTTCCCGCAGACACAGATGTCAGCATCTGCTGTCAGTTCCAGCTCACGTGGGAGAGAGTCACAAGTGTTCTTACCAGTAGCTACTCCTGAACGGAGCTGCTACTTTCTGTATATTTTCAATAAAGTCATTTACATCTGTAACAAGGATGCCACTGTTTTCAAAGACATCTCTGGAGACAACAGGCTTTTCTGTAAAAAGAAAAATAACCTTTTTTGGTGAAAAAAATTCATTAATACTTTTTAAAAGTAGCAAAATCCCTTTTATTGAAAAAAAAAGACTCATACACGTGAAGGAAAAAGCGAGCCTGTTTCAAGTGAGGAATGAGGTTGGAGCTCTGGGAGCAGTCGCCTCCATGGGCAGTGGTGGGAGGGAGGGAGCTGAAACCACTGATGGGCACTTTTTTAAAAGCTTAGATGGTTACACTTAACAGATCTAGTACAGGTTTTTTTTTTTTTTCTATTAACAGGACAAAACCCACAATACCTGCTGCCTCAGCCTCGTGTGCATTTATTCCTGGCCGCCAGTGACTCCACTTGGATGGAAGGACGTTTCTAAAGAGTGGACCTACTGGGCGTTAACTGGTTGATGAAAATTAGAACTTAAGGCTATGAATTTACCTGTAAGGAAGACGGCAAACCTCGCGTGGACACGCTGAATTTGCAGGTTTAGCAGACATTTCAGGTGCTCAGCTTTTGTTGATAATCGGGAGTCACACTGGTGATAATGAAGCAGCTCAAAGATATTTGCACTCTGATACGATTTCAATATTAAGTTCTTTTTATATGCAATTGAATCCACTCTGAAAAATACACAAAAATGTTAAATTTAGATAAGTCTAAGTTTGTGAAAGATTTTCTGTATCTTAATTTTCAGTTGCTTTATTCCTAGACTTTTTCTGGCCTTCACTATACTTAGTCAAACTCCTTTTCCCTTCTTTGTTCTTCTGTACGACACACTTGGCTTCCCAGACGTCACCGTCCTGTCGAATTCCCTCAAAACATTCCGAGTGTACTTACTCCTCGTCCCGTCAGGAAGGACAGCACATGGCCATCGAACACTGCTTCCAGCCATGTGGCTGGCAAGCCTCCCACTCATTCCCAGCGGGCCCCTTCCTGCATCCTGACTCATACAGCAGTGCTTCCCGTGCTTTGGCTCTCCAAAACCACTCTACTTCTTTTTGGTTAGATAGTCACCAACTTCATTAAGATCATCTAACAGCTAGAATTTTCTCACCTCACTTTAAATCTTGTTTCTACCTTTTATTCTTCCTTTTAGAGGAAAGTGTTCCATCCTGCAGCCCCTCCAGTACTCACACCCTCGCTCCTGCTTGCTGGAGAAAACCCAAAGCCTGCGTATTCCCATAGCTCTAGTCACACCATGAACTGCATCACGATGAATTTCCTTCCAGGTTTTATCCTTCATGTGTGTAAATTTATATGCCTGGCATCATACTGTACATAGTTTATCACTGTGAATAGAATTTTTTTATATGCTTCTAGTTACTATGTTATGCTATGTGTGGCATTATTTTGCATATTTAAAAAATTATGTATCTATTTAGTCCTGTATCTGCCTAGAGATGAATTAGAGGATGGTTTTGTAGCTACTCATAACCACGCATGGTTTTTGTTCTGTTTTGTTTTAGTTTTGGACAAATTCTCCCCGCCTCCAAGGGCAAAAGGATATGATAAGTTTTCTGAAAAGTTCTCACTATTCGAGACTGGCCTGATGTGAAGAGATTCCAGTGACATAAGTGTCTCTGTTTACGCAAAGTCCTATGCATGCTGAATTAATTTACACTGACCGATCTTAACAGGTGTGCTCTGCCACCTCAGCTTTCATCTGCTTCTGTACTTACTCCTGAAGTTGAACCTTCCCTCTGAAGTGCTGTGTTAACTAAGCCCTGTGAGGGCCCCTTGGAGCCCTTCCTCCCTGACAGTCTCAGCTCTCGGTTCCGCTCCCTCTTTTCCTCCTGTACAAGTTCCTCTCCTAAGTGCAAGCCTTTCCCCAACTGCTATTCTCGGCCATCTTTTGAGATCCCGTGCACATCCACGATTTCAGTTGTCTTCCTCCGGAGAAAGCAGTGCGGTCAAACAGAAGGTAACTGTCAGGTTGGAGACGAACATTCCGGGTCAAAGCCCAGCTTCCTGACTTCCTCCTTGTCTGCCTGGGTCAGGTCTGGCATCCTCTGTGCCTCAACTTCCACATCATTAAAGTGGGTTTGTACTGTCTACTTCCTATGTGTGAACTTATTTAGAGATGGGACAGGTCATCTGTCACAGGACTGTCCTAATGACAGTCCTGTGACAGATGACCTGTCCCATCTATAGATTCCCCCAGTCCACCTCTGCATTCCCACACTCCTTTTCCCCTCTCATTACAACCTGCAGGCCCATCTTTGATACGGAAGGGCCTCCCGCAGGCCCCAAGTCTCTTCATTTAAGGGAGTCTGCCTGTTTCTAGTCTATTATTTAAGAGTTAAATTAAGGCTACATGCTGGTCTCAATTTTTCTGTCCTTATAACTGGAGCAACCTAATTTATCAATAAATGTACAAAAACCCATAGGTGAATTTATTTTTTTTACATTTTAGGATTCCTGTGTGTGTCTGACTTGGTCACTGTTGGTCTGGAGAAGGCAACTCAGACCCTGGATTATGGTCACAACACAGCTTCCTGCACTGAAAGCCTTGCTATAAAAACAAAACCCGAAAAACAGTCCACAGACCTAAACACTGCCTTCAGTGACATAGACGATTTATGTTCTTACAAAGTGACCTTGTGGCAACACGTGGATGACACTGGTCCAGAGCTCAGGGAGCCTTTCTGGGTGAACCCAGGTGTCTCCACCCTCCCCCACACCCAGGCCTCAAATTCCATAAAGGTCTCACCTCACATCTTCTTTTAGCTTTTTAGTTTCCCTGTAGTGAAGCAACCACTTCCATCTTCCGTTTTCATTTAGTTTCTCCAGGATTCTGATAATTTCCTTCAGTTGTACTACAGAATGAACAAGTTTGACAAGACAAGATGTATTTTAGGATTTTTGGCTTGTCTAGTCAAAGCCCAGGGATGATGATTTGTGAGAATAAGGCCCCATGTTTGAGTGTTGACCATCACTGCCACTCCTGTAGCTGGGCAGGAAGGATGCTGTGCCACACTTTAACCCGTGGTCCCTCAACCCAGCCCCACCTTCTCACACCAGCAGGAGAGAAGAGCACTGCAGTCATTAGCAGTTAAAAGCTCTGAGTGTATATAAATCTATGGATGGAACGAAAGTGGGGTCCTGTTGCAACAGAGATAAGATAGGTCTAGGCTTCTAAATACAGAATCTACAAATATTTTCAACTCCACTTTCTATGGAACATTCATGCTTGTTAAGGTACGTCCTCCTCCTCTTCAATGGAGAAGTGGTATCCATGTTTACTTCTAATGTGCTATCAGAGCTGGGCAGGTTTTGATTGTACATAAAGTGTCTGCCCTGTGCTCTAACATTCTTTGACGTCAAATTCATTGCCCCGAGAGAAACTATTTATATATGAGTGTTTAAGGAGATGACTGAGAAGACTTCCAGTAGCCTTTTTTAGATTTCCATGATACCGACAAAACGGTAGGGGTGATGGCAACAGAAATGGAGGAAAGAGGGCTGATTCTAAACCAATATGTAGCTGATTTGATTTGGCAAAGGGAAGAATTGAATATAACAAACTCTCAAATGTGTATGAGTAGTTTAGCCACATTACTGAGAGGTTTTAATACAAAAGAGGTGAAGAGCAAAGTGCTTATTTAGCACAGCATATGACAGAAATTAAGCCCTCAACAGACGGTGACATATTGAGTTAATGCTGATTTCTTTTTGATGAAATAATATTTGAATCACTGGGCAAGGAGAAATTGATTTGACTAGATATGAAAGGAAAATGAGAGACAAACCTAATGTTAAAGTTTCTAGTATTCTGTCATCTGACACCACAAAGCCTCCTGTCTGGAACAGCTCTTGGTAGGTGTAACTGAGGACGTCTTCAGGGCTGTCGATTCCGGCAAAGATGACACTGGGAAGGTGCTTCAGCTTCAGCAGAGAAGGAATCTGAAACATAAAAAGGTACCCCGGTGAAGACAGGTTCATTGGGTCACTTTTGTCATTTCTATCCAAGGGTGTCCAAACTCAGGAACAGCTGGAAATATCTTTCACCTTGATGACTGACTGGTAATTCTGTCAGTTAATAAGGAATTTTAACTCCATCAGCAATGCTGCAAACTCATTAAGATTGGTTACAAAGTGGTCTCTCAACTCCAAAGGTGGAAGACGGAATGAGGGGAGAACACCTGAGGTTTGGGACCTGTAATCAGGCAGGTGGCAAGCTCACCACCACCCTAGTCTCCCACTTCACGTGGCGTCCATGCTGTGGGTTCAGTTCCTGCCTCCTGACGCAGGACCGTAAGCCCAGGCTGAGCCTCGATGTCAGAGCTTTTTGGGACAAGCAATTACTTTTATTTAACTGATAGGTAAATATGGTAACAAAGAGTTAAGAAAATTTTCAAAAGTCCTTTTAAAGCAAGATTTATTACTGTTAGACATCAACAAATGTAGATTTATATTTCAGGTGAGAAAATTTTACCAGTCTCTCTTCATCGAAGTTCTCCCTTAGTTACTATGAAAATGTTCTTAACTCTGAGACATAATTTGCCTTATAAATACCTTGGTAAATTACAACGTTAGTATCAGTAGTACAAATGGTATTGTGCTTTAACTTCTTCCCTAAATAAAAAGGCAGTGATGAGCCTGATAATTATAGAATAACATAAAATGCCCAGAATACATTTCTCCATAAGAAAGTTACTTCCAAACCTACCTGATGCAAATGTGATGATATGTCTTCATTTCTGATGATGACTATGAGCATATCCTTCTCCCTGTAAAATGCTTGACAGAAGTGCTGAGGTTCAATTTCTGTGTAGCCTCCTTTCCTTAGAATATGCTGAAAGATTTACAAATAGACATGATTTAAAAAAGGATACTTGCACAGAACTACTTTTACAGTTTACTAAAAATATCAAAGACCACATCCTGTTTACTAAATTACGTTCTAATAAGGCAACATAAATGGCAGTTTATCTTATTACTAGATGTCAGCTTTCACATATAAAATGACTCCTGGGTATCACTGACAACTGGATTTAGAAGTTTATTTCAAAGGCAAAGCACTTTATAATGAATCTTTCATGTTCATAAAGTATCAAAAGTGGATTCTTCTGAAACCTCAGACTAATATACATACATGAACCTCACCCTATTCAAAGGAGTTACCTTGGGAAGGCAGATATTTACTTTAAAAATGCCATCTCCAGTCAAAATGTTTCTACGACTTTTGACAATACTTATGATGCCTATGCATTACTTTGAGTATCGATAACAAGGACGGATTCTGGAAGCTGGCAGTGGCTTGGACCCAGGCTTTGAAGAGTGGCGGGAGCCGGGTGTTACACTGTGCCTGGTTATGGGGCACGGCTGTGTTCCACAGAGCAGTTCTGCAATAAGCCTCATTGGGAGGATAAGTTCGTGTAGTTAAAGAAGTTCCTTAACTTTGTGATTTTGACATTGTCCTTTGTGATTTTGACATTGTTTCTGTCTGAAGGATTCTGGAGGTTTACCAAAAACACGGACCATCACTTGTTATTTCCTTTCTAAAATAAGGTGTTACTTTGGTCAGTCTCCCCGCCAGATCTCAAGACAACTCAAATTTTGACTTCAAGTTTTCACTCAAAATGTATGGCAATGCTAACACAACATAGTGAATCAACTATACTCCAATAAAAATTTAAAAATAAAATGAGAAAAGTATGGTGATGTATTTTCAAAGACATTCCTACAGACAAGATATCTTTTAACAAAGAGCTCCTTAAAATATCTAAATATAAATCCTTATAAATCCTCACCTATTTTACTAATGAACGATTTGAATTAATACATTTTCTGATAGGTTCAACATTTTCATCAGCTCCTGTGGAATTCTGGGCCATCCTGTCACACCCTGAATCACCTTATGAGTAAACAGGACCTGATACCCCATCACTGGTGAATGCTCCAGGACAGACAGATTCTCCACCATAGCTTTCTGAGCTTTTTAAAAACACTTTGCTCTTGATCACACTTTATTCTCAAATGTACTTTATACTATGTCCACTTTCTCACTAGAAGTTGTTTTAAAGGTGCAAACAATTTGTTATTTTCTGTTGTAAATAGTGGCCACGTGATAAAATATTACCATGAAATGATAGTCACTACCGAAACAAGCATGTTATCTAGAAGTAACATGAAATGATACAGTCACTACCGAAACAAGCATGTTATCTAGAAGTACCATGAAATGATACAGTCACTACCGAAACAAGCGTGTTATCTAGAAGTGTTACTTCGATAAACATCACTGTGACTGCTCCCGTATGAAAACCAGCGTCACCTGTGCTCTGTAAAAGACATGAGAACTAAGATAGTGCATTGTTGCTTTTGAGATGGAAGCAAAAAGAAATCAAGTATTTTGCTCAATGTGGTAAAACAAGGACATGGCCATGGTGCTAACTCAGTCGATCCCTGACTTATTTCAGCGCAGGTCAGGGTGTGGTGTATCTACTCAGCCAGAGAAAATCAACTTTAATTCAAGGTTAAAATAAATAAATAATTTCCAGGTTACTTTTGGAGGCTAATCACCTTCCAAAGACTGAAGGCCACTTAATGCTTTATTTTTTCAACTAAAATCTTACCAAAATTGTCAGAAATTGCAACAAAGACAATGGGGAGGGGGGCGGGCGGAGGGCAGACCAGATATGGCAGCCATTTGTGAAGAATGTTGGACAACAAAAGGATCCTTGATTCCACAAATTTGGAAAAAACTAAAAATCATATTAAATGATACAAAACAGGAGCCATCAGCCGCCTCACAGGAGAACGTACTGCTGACTCGGGCGACACGGGGAAGCCTCGCGTTGAGGCCGGTTGCCTCGCTTTTCTAATCCACTCTCCGTGCTGTGGTGGAGGGACCACTCTGTCAAGTGCAAACGTGCTGCTCCTCATCTTTCAGAAACATTTCTCGGTGCCCTGCAGGTACCTCGGGAGAGCCCAAGTGCCCCCGCGTGACGTCCACGTGGCCCTTTTACCCCTGACGGTGATCGCCGTACCCCCGACCGCCCCCCACCCTTCTGGAAGCCTCCTCAGGCCCCGTGCTTCCCCCCGGGGCAGCGCTGAGCCTCGGCCCGCAGGTGCCTGATGACTGCGACGTCCACACTGACCGATGCGGGGCAGGACCTGCCAGGAGGCGCAAGGCGCGGTCTGGGGCCTTTCGCTCCTCCGCAGCGGCCCTGGCATCTACACGCCGCGCACCCGTCATGGCGACCGTCACGCTCGTCACTCAGCCCAGACGTTGCAAACATCTGCAGGCACTCTGTGCTCCTCAGCAGCTTGGCGCTGGCAGGGGTCTCCTGGGACACGTCATCCCGGGGCAGCCACCCCGACTTAACCCAAGACTTAGCACGAGGGCAGACACGCGTGGACCTGAAACAAATCTCATCGGGC